TCTTTTAGTCTTATTTTTTTGTACATGTATTTTTTCCCATCAAAATCAGATGATACTCTGTGAGTTTTTTATTACTTTTTTTTAAACTTAACGTTCTGGAGGAGAATCTTAAACATTGAGGGATATTATGTGTTAGTCACTGTGCACAGTACATTTACTGGGTGGGGGAACCTTTCTGTTTGCCTGGAATGCCTTCCCTTCCTTTTGTCTGTCATGTGAATTTTCACTTAGCCTTCAAGTGTGAAATTAGACATGAACCCCTACCCCTAGGCTGAAGTAGGTACTGTATCTCTTTGCTTCTCTTAGCTCTTTGTACTACCTCTGGGTACTTGTACGTTGATTTGTTTTATTTACAAGTTTGTTTTATTTACTAGTTTGTTTCCCCCACTGGGACTGTGGGTTCCTTTAGGACAGCAGTTTAATTGTCTTCTCGTCTCATCTCTATATGTTAAATGTCTGAATGAATGAATGCAAAGTGAATGATTTTGTTTTGTTTTTTTTTTTACAAATCATATGAGGTAGTTATCATTACTCCCTGTTTACAGATGCAGAAGCTCAGGCTCTCAGACTGAGTAACTTTGCAGGTCACAGAAGTAGGAACTGAGAATGGTGGAAAAATTAAAATCTAAGTCCTTTCTACTGTATCACACCGCCAGAAGGAGTAACAGCTAGTCAATTTTAGAACCTGAATAATCCAGGCTTCCAGACTTCAAAGTACCATGCATATCTCTATATTATACTTATATTGATGTATTTAAAGCCTTGCTATATTTTTCAAAATCTATTTTGTTTTTTGTTCCTAAATATAAAAAAAATCATGTGACTAATTTTTTATATGTACTTCTCCTCTCACCCTGCCCACACCAAAAAAATTAAAATCTCAGATAAAATGTTGTATTTCATTTCTTCAGCGTATGGGCCCAGTTTGATTCTTCATTTACCTGTGTAGTCATGATCTTAGAAAACAAAACACAGAAACAATTATCTCTTTTATTTGTTTTTTGGAGTTACTTATCCTATAATTTCTAAAAGCCAAGGTAAAAATGTCATTATTGCTCTCTGAAAATTAGTATTTCAAATGTAGTGCTTGGTATGGGCCTGGCACCCTGAAGTTAGGTACCTTTTGCATTTTATTCAATTCTCAGCTGGATTCCTTTTAACTAATTATGATGAGTAGGATCATTTCTGTGAACTCTCTGGTCTTCTCACTTGTCATTATAATTCTGAAGCTTAGTAATTTAATTGTTAGGTTTGCTCTTTAGGTCAGCCAGTCTTCCTATCTAGAAGGTTTATAATCTAGACTTCATTTAATTTCTTTCAGTTTATTTGAATTTATAGTTTTATTTTTTTGCAGTTTTTGTGTTAGTTACCTTCATAATTTTTCAATTGCCTTAATAAGACAGTAATAGGAAGATCAGTGGACAGGGAAACCCAGATTTCTGTACATTCATTGTGACCATTGGACTTTACTTCTCTGGATGTTTTTCCTACTGTAAGATGTGAAGTTAGGTTAATTATGTATAAGGATCTTTCTAAATCAAACATTCTATAATATAACTCCTTGGAGCTGTTTTACAGAATAATATAGAAGTTTGTATATACTCTTGAACTTTGTTTTTAGAGAATGCTTTTCTTCTGCAGATATCAAAGTACTTGTTGTGTTACTTGTTGGCAATTATATTCCAGAGAGAAAAATGTGGTTAAATAACTGAAATTAGAATATTTGAGCTTTAATTGAAAAGAGTGGCTTATAATATTATGTTATTGATTTCATAGAATATTTTAATACATACTTTTAGTATTACATTTTATTATATAATACATTTTATCCATACATAATTCTAATACAGAATTTTTAAAAGACTTAAAAAAGTAATTACTGAGGACAGATAAGAGTTCTTATGCCAAAAAAGATCCCTTAAAAAATTTCAATTTTAATCAAAGCAGATGGATTGAAATAAATGTTGACTACCACTTGTAAGTCCTGAAATTTGATTTAGAAAAAACTGTATTGCAAGAACTGAGCTGATATAGTCTGGAAGCCTGTTGATATTGTTTAAAGGAGATGCTAGCATGTTCAACTCAAATGTATTGTTATTGCTATTGTGTTGATAGAATATGTTTATCTACTACTGTTTCATAATCAAATTTTTATTGATTTTAGAGGAATGGACTTATTGAGGGGGACCACTTAGAAATTAAGCAATTTCCAGTTGTATAGGGTGGAATTCAAACTTGTAAAATTTATTTAATAGCTTATAATAAAAATCTTTAAGGGGGAGAATTTGGGTGTAGATAAGTCTTGTTTTGGTTGCTTAATTAATGATTCTGTATTTTAAAATTATTACGGAGGAATTGATAGAAAGATTTATGTAATTGCCTGAAAATCAAACATCATTGTTTCTATAAAATGAAGTAGCCAGGCAACTTAAGATGTCAGTTTAGGATATAGTTCTGACAGATTTTCTGTAAGGGGGTGATTCTAAAAATTCATATTAGAGAATTATTTTCTGGATTATATATGGTTAGACATATTGCAGTTTCTAGGCAGGAGAATACCTCTTGAGATGGTAACAGGATGAAAAAAAGAAAATTGATCAAAAAGAAAATGCCAGTTAAGGAGGGCACTTGTAATGAGCACTGGGTGTGATATGCAACTGATGAATCACTAAATTCTACCCTGAAACTAATAATACACTATATGTTAACTAACTTTAAATTAAAAAAAAAATAAATAAACCAGTCTGATACCCTGTGTCTTTTGATTGGAGCATTTAGCCCATTTACATTCAGGGTAACTATTGAAAGATATGAATTTAGTGTCATTGTATTGCCTGTAAGGTGACTGTTACTGTATATGGTCTGTATTCCTTTCTGGTCTGTGTTACTTTTAGGCTCTCTCTTTGCTTAGAGGACCCCTTTCAATATTTCTTGTAGGGCTTGTTTCATGTTTGCAAATTCCTTTAGTTTTTGTTTGTTCTGGAATGAGGGTTCTAGAAGGGAGGGGGGTGGGAGGATGGGTTAGCCTGGTGATGGGTATTAAAGAGGGCACTTACTGCATGGAGCACTGGGTGTTATATGCAAACAATGAATCATGGAAGACTACATCAAAAACTAATGATGTAATGTATGGTGATTAACATAACATAATAATAATAAAAAAAAACAAAAACCAAACCCCTCGAAAACCCAAACAAACAAAAAAGAAAATTCCAGTAAAGACATGAACTGTTATCCTATGTAAAGCTTTCATATAGTGTTTACTTGATGGAAAAGTAATGGCTGATAATGGAAGCGGAGTGTTGGTGGGAAAAAAGGCATAAGCTATTATAGATGTTCATATGCAGTATTTTAAAGCTTTTCTCTTTGAGATACATATTTTTCTGGGGTACTAAGTATACTTGCCTGTAGGCATATTTAGGAAATGTTTTAATGTGGAGGGAATGAATTATAAACTAGGATTTTAGGATATCATGTCTGTAGATAATACTTAGATTAAATTGAATCATCAGCTACTTTGACTTTAATGTTACCTGTATGTTTTACTAAGAGGTGGTTCTATGTAGTTATTTGGTTGGAAAACAAACTATAGATATGAGAAATAACTGAAAGAATTTGCTAGATCCTTTGTCCCAATCCAGAAGCTAAGCTGTGTTGATGCAAATATAAAATAATCAGGCTCGGTTGCCATTCTTTCTGAGCATCATGACAGTTTCCAAGCCCCATTTATTTTGGTAGATTAAAATTAATTTTTGCTTGGACTTAAAAAAGATAATTGGCAGGAAATAATTTTTAAAAATCACAACAGAATCCCTTATTCACAGAATTCTGAATACATGTTGGATTGTAGTTCTGCAACGTATGTTTTCTAAGAAAACAAACAAGGTACCTTGATAGGAGAATCTAAGATTTTTCCTCTATGAATTCTTGTGATATTTCTTATAGATGGACTTGACTTTGGTTTTTTAATGTTCATTGATTCATTGAACAAATACTTACCAAGAACACACATAATTTCTTTTCTCATGTTGATCATTAGGGATGATTTACAAAATTATTCTTTTATGTTGTATTGTTCTTGACCTGGTGATAATACATTGGTGTGAGGTCCTCTGTGATGGTATATGCATATATTTACATTTTTATTTATATTTACTTTTCATTCTTTCTATCTCCCTTTATGTCAAGATGAGAATGTAATTTTTTTTTTATCTAAGGATTTAATGGTCTAGTTTTCTGTTTCCTCCTTTAATAATTAGGTATTTATGAAACACATCAGGAACTTGAACATTAGCTTAGATAAAAAATGAACAGTTTTGTTGTTTAATTTTCTCACCCTGTCTGTATATGTTTACCATCTTCAGAAATTTGCTTGTGTGTTTTAAAAATGAGTTAATGTTGTGATGAATTTTGAGTACATAGCTTAGTTATTTAGAGCATAGTATATCTAAAAACATTACTTTGATACTGGTTTGGAAACCAGTTAACTTTTTTAAGGAAAACCAGTTCTGCTTTATTAAGCAAATTTGTCCTGTTAATCCTAAAGGGATTTAGGTGAGAGTTTGGTGCAAGTAATACCTTTTGTTTGTATTCTTATCATTTATATAGAATCTAGATTCTCTGATTCTTGATCATTTCATCACTACTGAATAAATCAAGTACTAGTAGAGTTTACCTGTTGTCTTTGTACTTTAATTTTAGGCATGCGCACTTTTGCTGTTTTGCAACACTTATTTCATAAGATTAACAGCTAAGCAAATGATTTAATCAAGGCATGTAAAAGTAAGTTTGAGTGCCATGTCATTTAAATCTTATCATTTAGATGTGCTTAAATTTTGTAGCCATTTCTTTAATTTGGTTAAAGTATTAAATATTTAAAATGTTATTTTCCTGATCCTGTATATAAAAGTTGCACTTTGTTCCATGATGGAATAGTTTGGTAATGGACTAAATTTGTTTTTAAACCAAATTAGTTTTCCTGTTTTATTTATGCTTTTTAGGTGGCAGCCAATGCACACATTCCTCCAGACTACCTCCTTAAAATTTGTGAGCGGATTGGTCCCTTACTAGATAAGGAGATCCCTCAGAGTGTTCCTGGGGTACAGACATTACTAGGTGTTGGTCGGCAGTCTCTGTTACGGGATGCCAAAGGTAAGATTTTCACAGTTTTCAGAGGAAGGAGTGGAGAGCAGCATATTTTCATGTTAAGTAAATGTTCACATGCTTTCCTAAATACTGATTTTCTTCTAGTTTTTCTTATTTTGCCAATCTTATTTTCTTAGTGTACAAGTACATTTTTAAAGCCCTAAAAGAAGCCCTCTGCTGTAAAACAGTGAATACAGTAGAGGTAAAGAATATTAAAATCTTTTTGTAATCCTGTGGAATAGAGATCTTAAAAGATCACTGCTCTAATTAGTACAGTATAAATGCTTAAAAGTCTTTCATTATGTTTTAATATTTTTAAGTATTATGAGTCTTTATATCATCTTAATCACATATATTTTATAACAGGTAAATGAAAAATGATATGTAAAAATTTATATATGATATGTGATATGTAAAAAAATTTTATAATTGAAAATATTAAAACAAATATCAACCTATTAGTGACTGTTCAGTAACAGTTTTTGTACTCCACTGTTTTTCAGTCTTTTAAAGATTTTCCCCAAAGTTTTTCATGGAACCCCAATATGTAAAATATATAAAGTAGTATTTTATGAATATAAAAATGTGAAATTAGACATTAAGGATGCCTGTTAATGTAATAAATACTTCAGGTCTAGCAACTCATTTGTTTTGTTGTATAGCATCATGTTTTTTAAAAATTCTAATTCATAAAGGTAAATAGCTTCAAAAATACCAGTTTTAAACATCTCATTTTATAATATAAGGAAATTCTTCAAATCAGTTAATTTGGAAGTTTTCAAGAGAGCAATAGAGGGGTGTCTGGGTGGCTCAGTCGGTTAAGTGTCCAACTCTTGATTTCAGCTCAGGTTATGATCTCAGGGTTGTAAGATTGAGCCCAGTATCAGGCTCTATGCTCGGCATGGAGCCTGCTTGGGATTCTCTCTATCCCTTTCCCTCTGCCCTTCCCCCCCCAAAAAAAAGAGTAGTGCAATATTTTTGTATCACAGTTAAATTATTAGGAATATTTCATATTTGCTTGAGTTTCTTGACATAAACATAAAAAACAAAAAACACAACTATTTATAGTCATTTATCATCTGACATGCAATATTGTTACCTGTTATGGCATAATTGGCAGGCACTCTATAATGTGAGTATGCACCAAGTATACATGTTTCTGAATTTTACCTGGCATACTTGTGCTGTAGTTGTAACCTTGCTTATATAGTTTTATATAAGTAGAAATGTATAAGCCTACAGATCAAGAAGGACCAATATAAAATTAAAACCTTATTAATCTATGACATATTTACATAAGATTCAAATACACGCATAATAAAAGCTTTAGTTCTAGATCAGCACAGAAATAAAACATCCTGGTGTTATATTAAAGTATTGTTGTTTAACAGTCATAATATAGTTCGTAACATGTTTAAAAATATGCATGTTATTTTTTATTGTGGTATTAATAGTTAAAAATATATTCCAACAAATGAAATTGAAAACAGACATTTACCTCTGAGGTACAACTTAAAAAAACACTGTTCTATTTCTTGACTAACTTTTGAATCTTTTTGAATAGACTGTAAGAGTACACTATGGAATGGGTCTGCTTTTGCAGCTCTACATAGAGGCAGACCTCCAGAACTACCTGTAAATTATGTGAAACCTCCAAATGTGGGTGAGTAATGTCCATATGAACTATGAACATATTCTTGATTTGTTTCTTCCTGAACTCATTATACAGCCAAAAATAGGTACCAGAATTAAATTTGAAATATAAAAAAGCTGCTTACATTCTTGAGGAGTTTCATGGTTGGTCTAACTTTTTTAAAGCATTTTTATTTAATGTAGTTATGGTTTTGTGATCTTGTTTTCTTTCTTTCTTTCTTTTTTTCTTTCTTTCTTAGCAGAAGAATTTCCTTTTTTATATACTATATGTGTTTTTAACCATATGGATGTCTGTTTACATATCTATGTGCTGAACTTAAAGATTTTACAGGGAACTATGTAAAGATAACTTTCAGAATGAAACAAAATATATTCTGCTTATATCTGTTTGCTAAACATAATGATGTGATAAATTTTATATGTCTTTATTAAAACAAAAAAAAAATCACCCTTCTTCTTTTTAAAGTTTACTGAAATTTCCATGATCCATTCAGAATATTCCTGGGGCATCTCTGGCCAGACCATTATGGAGAAGTACTACTAGTGGTTTCCAAGGAGACCTAGCTACAAAACCATTTGTACTAAAATTTAACTCTTAAAAAGAATGTATAAACAGTTAGATGAGTAATTGCCACTCTGCTTCCCTATTTTCTTACTCTTGTAAAAAATTATTTTATATAGTGCCTACGGCCTAGAGAATATGCCTTAAATTCAAATTGAAAAATAAAAGTACTTTTTAAAAGGAATACTATTTTATATAATAAGCTTATAGAAGTTATTTACCCCAAGAGGTTAAACAAATTTAGGCTAGAAATAATTTCAAAAGTTATTTAGACAAAATTATTGATAAAGATTCATAAGGGTTACTGAAGTAAATTAGATACTTCAGTATACATTACTAACAGTACTCTTCCATAGCCTGGATGTTACTGGGTGAAGAAGACTACTGATTTGGGTCTAATTGGATATGGCATTTCTAACATTTTTTTCCATTTTTAGAGGTGGCTTGTTTACCCTTTAGAATTTTACAGTGTTCACTTCTCCTAAAGCTTTATTCATAATTAACTTACTGACTTGAATTAAGATGGCTCTTACTATTTATGCATTTATTTATGTTCAAAAGCTACAATATTTTTAACCACATTATCAACATTATTTGTAATGCTTTATATTTCTTTCAGTGGTCACATGTAAAGTGCTGAAGAGCAGTATTCAGAGTATTAGGTTTTCCATCTTTCTTTAGTCTTTTTTCCCTTTCCTTTTTAAAAACTATTTTAACTATATACATTCAAACTTCTACCAGTTTTGTACAGTGAATGTAAATTCTGACTTGGATCACTTTGTTATTTTTATAGTAATTGCTCAGGAATTTTAGTGTTCCTGGCATTGATGCTTTCACATTCTTAATTCTGCCCTGTTATTTGAAGAGTTATTACAATAGAGATAATTCAACCATGATGTATTTTCATGTAGTATATACTAGTCAAAAATATCTAAGTTTAGGATATTTAGAATTCAGAACCTGGTAAAAACTCAGAGGAGTTGACTAGGAAAGTAGCAAGATGAATAAGAAGTATTTTAAAATTTGTGACTTAAGTTTTCTCATTAAGGGGTATAGTTCTGCATAGCTACTTTAAAATCAATCAGTTTTATAGTTTCCCAATGTAAATAAAACTTAATCCAGAAGGTGGACACCTGCATGCCTCAGTCCCTTAAGCATCTGACTCTTGGTTTCAGCTCAGGTTGTGATCTCATGGGTCATGATCATGGGTCCTGAGATTGAGCCTCCTGTTGGGCCCTGTGCTCATCAAGGGGTCTGCTTGAAAGAGTCTCTCCATCTGCCCCTCCCCCAACTCACTCGTGTGTGTGTGTGTGTGTGTGTATGTGTGTGTGTGTTCTGTCTCTCTCTAATAAAGAAATAAGTCTTAAACTTAATCAAGAAGGTAATCTTAAAAGTTTAATCAATGAATCTTAGAACTTTAGCAATACTGTTTTTAAAAATTATTTTTTTTTTATTTTTTTTTTGAGAGAGAGAGAGAGAGCAGGGGAAGGGTGTTGGAGGGGCAGAGAGAGAGGGAAAGAGAGAATTTTAAGCAGGCTCCATCTCACTACCCTGGGATCATGACCTGAGCCAAAATCAAGAGTTGTATGCTTAACTGACTGAGCTACCTGGGCGCCCCAGCAACACCATTTTTTTTTTTTTTAAGATTTTATTTATTTATTTGACAGAGAGAGACACAGCGAGAGAGGGAACACAAGCAGGAGGAGTGGGAGAGGGAGAAGCAGGCTTCCCGCCGAGCAGAGAGCCCGATGCGGGGCTCAATCCCAGGACCCTAGGATCATGACCTGAGCCAAAGGCAGATGCTTAACGACTGAGCCACCCAGGCACCCCAACACCATTTTTTGATAGAAGTTTTCCTTGGTCAAGTAAATGTGGGAAACTGAGTTTAAAAAATTATAGAAAAAAATGAATGCATCTAGGACTGCTCAGAGCCTTTCATATGCTAAATGCATTGTGAATCGCCTTGTGGGGAATATTTCCTAAATAATTTGACAGTAGAAACCCTTTTCTCAAAATACCTGCAACATTCTAAAAATTTCCTGGAAACAGACTTGAGAAACTGGGTTATAAGCCCCTATTTACACCAGAAAAAGCTAAAGTCCAGAGAAGTATGGGACTGGCATAAGTTATACTGCTTGCCTTCCAAACGGTCTATTTCTATACCATATTTCCTTGGTATAACAGATCTGTACTTATAGAGCACCAAAGATAGAAGATTAGCCATGTTACATTTATTTCTTTATTTTGATTGATTTATTTATTTTTAGAGAGAGAGTGTGTGTGTGCGCGTGGGTGGAGGGGGAGGGGCAGAGGGAGAAGGAGGAAGGAAACTCCTCGCTGAGTGGGGACCCTGATGTGGGGCTTCATCTCAGGACCCTGAGATCATGACTTGAGCCAAAATTAAGAGTTGGATGCTTAAGTGACTGAGCCATCCAGGCACCCTTATTACTTTTATTTTTTAAGTCAAATATATTATGGTATAATTCATATAAAATAAATTTTTTTCTTTTTAAGTATATAGTCCAACGAGTTTTGACAAACATATACATTTGTATAACTAACAGCACAATTAAAATGTAGAACATTCTGTCACCTTCTGAATTTCCTCATGTCTCATTGCAGTCAATCCTCTGCCCCTCCCTGTATTCATGGAAACCAGGAACCTCTCTGTCCACTCTACTTTTGCCTCATTTACAATTTCATCTAAATGAAATAATAAGCATGTAGCCTTTTGTTTATATCTGATTTTGCTTAGAACCTAGTGCTTTTTTGATTTATGCATGTCATTTCTTGTATCAGTAATTTATTTCTTTTTATTACCAAGCAGTATTTCATTGTATGGATGGATATACCATGATATGTTTGTTAATTCATCAACTGATAGGCATTTGAGGTGTTTCAGATTTTGGCTATTATAAATAAAGCTGATATAAACTTTCTTATATATATCTGCATGAATATTGATTTTCATTTCTCTTGGGTAAATATCTAGTTAATGGGATTGTTGGATCATGTGGTAAGTATGGATTTAACTTTTTAAGAAACTGCCAAATTATTTTGAAAGTGGCTATCCCATTTTGTATTCCTACCAGAAATGTATAATTTTAGAATTAGCTTCCCAATTTCTACCAAAAAAACAACTAGGATTTTGTTTGGGATTACATTGAATCTGTAGATAATTTTGGGGAAAAGTAACATCTTAACAACATTGAACTTTACAATCCAGGAACATGGTATAATTTCCCATTTATTTAAGTCTTCTATAATTTCTCACAGCAGTATTTTGTAGCTTTCATTGTACAGGTTTGCACATCTATTGTGAATTTTTTTCCTAAGGGTTTCATGTTTTTTTGGTGCTATTTTAAATTTTCAAATTTATAGTTGTTTTTTTGATAGTAAATAGAAATGGTTTTTGTTTTTGTTTTTGTACATTGATCTTGCTAAATTCATTGACTAGATCTAATAGCATTTTTTTTTTAGATTCTTCGGAATTCTCTACATAGATGATCACATTGTCTACAAATAAAGACAGGTTTACTTTTCCTTTCTAATCTTGTCTGCCTTATGGTTCTTTGTCATGCACTAGTGAACTGCTAGTGCTTCAGGTATAATGGTGAATTGAAGTGATGAGACTGGACATCCTTCCCTAGTTCCTGATTTTAGGGGGAGAGCAGGCTGTCTTTCACCGTTAAGTATGGTTGTAGATGCCTTTATCAGTTTGAGAATATTCCTTTCTGTTCCTACTTTGCATAGAACTTTTATCATAAATAGATATGTCCTACTTTTTAATTTTATCCAGTATAGTTAGACTTACACCAGTTAGTTTTGGGGGCTCATTTTAAGTGGTATTTTATGTAGTATAGTGCTACCCAATAGAAATTTCTGTAATAATGGAGATGTTCTATTTGATGCTATCCAAAACAGTAGGTACATATGGCTGTTGTATCCAAGGAACTCAATTTTTTAATTTTATAGAATTTTTACCAGTTTTAAAGTCTATAACCACATATGGCTACTGACTACTATAATGGACAGTGAAGATCTAGAACAATATGAAAACCAGTAAGCAGCTTCCTGGATAGGTACATAATTTAGTAATAATGTATTGACTAATGATTCATTTTACAAATTTAACCTGGAATGTTTTCTACTTTTGTACTTAGAAACTACCTTTAGCTTTTCTTCTTTTGATTTTAGTAACTCACTTCAAAGATAATATTGTGCCACTTCTTTCTAATGAGTTTCACAGTTGTCTTTGGCTAAAAACAATAAAATTCTGAACTTATCTGGACTTTCCACAATATGGGATTATTTATTCAAATGTTCCCATCCTTTGTGCAGTTAATCAACAATGTTATTTAGTAATTTAATGAAATGGAGGTGAGGGAGCATGGCATAGCATAGACTAACTACTGTAATACTTTACATATATGTGTACTTAAGTTTAC